GGCCAGTAGTGTTCACACAGTGTGACATGGTGTAGACCAGTAGTATTTACAGTGTGACATGGTGTAGACCAGTAGTATTCACACAGTGTGACATGGTATAGGCCAGTAGTATTCACACAGTGTGACATGGTGTAGGCCAGTAGTGTTCACACAGTGTGACATGGTGTAGACCAGTAGTATTTTCACATTGTGACATGGACTAGACCAATAGTGTTCACACATTGTGACATGCACTAGACCAGTAGTGTTCACACAGTGTGACATGGTGTAGACCAGTAGTATTTACACACTGTGACACGGTGTAGGCCAGTAGTATTCACACAGTGTGACATGGTGTAGACCAGTAGTGTTCACACAGTGTGACATGGACTAGACCAGTAGTATTCACACATTGTGACATGGTGTAGGCCAGTAGTGTTCACACAGTGTGACATGGTGTAGACCAGTAGTGTTCACAGTGTGACATGGTGTAGACCAGTAGTGTTCACACATTGTGACATGGTGTAGACCAGTAGTATTTACACATTGTGACATGGACTAGACCAGTAGTGTTCACACATTGTGACATGCACTAGACCAGGAGTATTCACACAGTGTGACATGGTGTAGACCAGTAGTATTTACACACTGTGACACGGTGTAGGCCAGTAGTATTCACAGTGTGACATGGTGTAGACCAGTAGTATTCACACATTGTGACATGGTGTAGACCAGTAGTATTCACACATTGTGACATGGTGTAGACCAGTAGTATTCACACATTGTGACATGGACTAGACCAGTAGTGTTCATACAGTGTGACATGGTGTAGACCAGTAGTGTTCATACAGTGTGACATGGTGTAGACCAGTAGTATTCACAGTGTGACATGGTGTAGACCAGTAGTCTTCACACAGTGTGACATGGACTAGACCAGTAGTGTTCACACATTGTGACATGGTGTTGACCAGTAGTGTTCACACATTGTGACATGGACTAGACCAGTAGTGTTCACACAGTGTGACATGGTGTAGACCAGTAGTATTCACACAGTGTGACATGGTATAGACCAGTAGTATTCACACAGTGTGACATGGTGTAGGCCAGTAGTGTTCACACAGTGTGACATGGTGTAGACCAGTAGTATTTACATGGTGTAGACCAGTAGTATTCACACAGTATGACATGGTGTAGGCCAGTAGTGTTCACACAGTGTGACATGGTGTAGGCCAGTAGTATTCACACAGTGTGACATGGTGTAGGCCAGTAGTATTCACACAGTGTGACATGGTGTAGGCCAGTAGTATTCACACAGTGTGACATGGTGTAGACCAGTAGTGTTCACACATTGTGACATGGTGTAGGCCAGTAGTGTTCACACATTGTGACATGGTGTAGGCCAGTAGTGTTCACACAGTGTGACATGGTGTAGACCAGTAGTGTTCACACATTGTGACATGGTGTAGACCAGTAGTGTTCACACATTGTGACATGGTGTAGACCAGTAGTGTTCACACATTGTGACATGGACTAGACCAGTAGTGTTCACACATTGTGACATGCACTAGACCAGTAGTGTTCACACAGTGTGACATGGTGTAGACCAGTAGTATTTACACACTGTGACATGGTGTAGGCCAATAGTGTTCACACACTGTGACATGGACTAGACCTGTAGTATTCACACAGTGTGACATGGTGTAGACCAGTAGTGTGTTCACACATTGTGACATGGTGTAGACCAGTAGTATTTACACATTGTGACATGGTGTAGACCAGTAGTATTTACACATTGTGACATGGACTAGACCAGTAGTGTTCACAGTAGTGTTCCGGAAATTCAACAGTTGAAGTTCTACTTCACAGATTTCACATGTTTTAATTATTAGCAACTGTAACTAGAACTAGATTTCGAACGTCTACAACAAAAATTCCTAGGGACTCCTAAAAAATATTATCGCAGAGAAAGTGTCTAGGCATGCCCTTCTTTCGATACTATCTTTTCTGATGGTATTCGCCAATGTCCAGTGGTCGAAAATTTTGAACAGTTTTGGGCATCAAACCCATGCACTGACAATGGTACCATTGAATAATGCAATCGTTATTGTCACAGGCAATCAGTCTCTATGATAGTTCATCAGTTTTTCTTTGATGTTATATCTGCCAATTTTTCAATAAAGATCTCTGGAAACAACAGCATTGAAACTAGACTCCATTTTCAGTCTTGTACATGCGCAGTTTGTCTATTGCTTGCGAACATGCTCCGAATATTACCGTATGCTCAAGATTAGTGTAATCCATTGTTAGAAGGTGCTAAGAGCTAACGAGAACCAATGTTTGTGAAAAAACATTGGCAAATGATCATAGGATAAAACAATAGCGTTGTGACTCCTTGCATTAGTACCTTCTATGGTCTATACCAGTAATATTCACACAATGTGACATAGAACTAGGTCTGTAGTGTTCATACATTGTGAAATGGTCTAAACCAATACTGTTCACCAATAATAACTTGAGGTGTAAGGTGTTTCGTCCGAGTGTCCAACTACTTACTTGTTGTATCTCCCCTCTCCTTTAAATATGCAAAATAAGAAAGAAATACCATTTGTTATGTTGATCATATTTAAATAATCTCATAACATTATGGAGAATACTGTCACAGCTGATTCATGTCATACATACTTGAATGAGCCATACACTTACTCAATGGCTAATAACTATAGCACTATAGTTTCCATTATGTTGACTAGTGCTACTCACAAAACAGCTTCTTTTTACTAGTCTTAGCCAATTGATGTGTTGACATGTGATAGTATGTTACGCTATTGTGTGATATATTCACAACAATAACACAATTACTCACAAAGTGTAAATAAAATGTTTCAATATTTGGACAAGATGAAATCTTTTGTATCTTGTTGCAAACCCTGTAAAAACGCAATTTTCATTTTTTTCTATAGTAGATCATATCTGCATTTAAATTTATGCCATCCATTTATCAGTATTTTAAAACTGTTTAAATAAAAATTCTTAGGTCAATACAAAATGCATCTTGTTTGCTGGAAAATACTCGTAAAAATGTTGGAAAGATAATAATCAGCAATGCTAGGTATTTTGTCAGCTGTTAAGTATATTGTGTTTCAGCCAAAATATTTTCAAATTGGTGTTTGGGGTTGTTTTTGTTAAATGCAGATGATGTCAAAGTTAGTCGACTTGTTGCTAAAAATACAGTTGCTTTTATTATTGATTTATCAGCAGCATTTTGTTACATTAATGTCATTTCAGTTGATATGCCTAAACTAGTGAAAGGTATGAAATTGTTGAATCAAGCTGACCCCTGTGTGCAAACATTGGTAC